CAGCCTCCCAATTAGCTAGGCTCACAGGGGTGCAACTCGCTCAATCTTTAAGTGATGCTTCTCATCTGAAAATCCTAAAAGGTGGTGTCCGTGGTATTCTTCCTAGTTACCTCACCTATTCATGTGTTCTTGCCTCTTAAATGTCTTAACTTCTGTTTCCATGATCACAGGGTGCCATCAGGAAAATATCAGATATTCCTGGATTCTAATACCATTTAGAGGGAGAGGAGATCTGAAGAACACAACCCAGAAAATGTTCTATGCCAATAAAGATATGTACACAAAAGAGAATTTGTTCTCAAGATCTGATTTCTTTCCAACATACTTTTTCAATTTCACTTAATTACAGAGGGAAAAATGCTTGTATTTAGCGCTAAATTCTGCTAACTCTGTAGTTTCTGACACTCTCCAAAAAACCATAAGTCCGTACTTTCCTTTCTACAAGGGGAAGAAAGTAGAAGAATTCATAACTGCAAAGCAGGAGAAAGGTGATCCAAAACAGACGTACCAAGTCTCTGAAAGAGGGAACCCTAAATGAACCAGCACAGCAGGTGTTATAATAAACTTTATCCCAATGACCTTTATCCTAACTGAATTTTCTTCCATTTCCAGAACCATTCATACTTCTTCCACACCTATAGTCTTCCCTATTCCGCTTTCCTGATATGTTCTCCTCTTGATTTTTTTCTTTTCACTTGAACCTTCTTCTTCTGATCTTTCTCTATTACTTTTCTCCTATCTGAGATCTGAGCACCTACATACCTCACATATTTAAAGATCACCTCTTTCAACTGGGCAAAAGTGGTATTCATCTCGCCCATACAACTGCTCCACAGCCAAACCAAATGTAAAGTTCAATCAGAACAAGCAAAAGAAAGAAAGCAAATTTATGTACATTTAAGCATAAATAATAACTTAAGATGTCTCTTTTAAGTCCTTGTTCCACAGTACAGCCTTTAGTAAAAAGCCTTAAATCTTAGAACAGCTTAATTTCTGTATTGAAACTACTTTTCAAACAATAAAGAAAGAGAAATATCTATATATTCTATTTCCCAACCATTCCCAGTATATACTTTTATGAAATAACCATTAAATTTTCCCACTTTATCCATAACCACAGTCTCCACATGCTCATACTCACTCTATACTCTCTCCTCTCTCTTTCTCAAGAAAGAGCTCTATTAAAGGTACGGGGGGGGGAATTAAATTAAAGGTGAGTGCCCCGGATACACAATGGGGCCACTGTACTAAAAGGTGGAATTTTTAGTGGGAGGAGTAGAGACATTATAAATAGAACTGAAGAAGGAAACCTTTTCTCCCTTGGATTTCTTTGATCTTTATTTCTGCCTTTGGAGCCACTATAAATTTCAGGCCTTGGGGCTCCTTCAACTTGAGAGAAAACTAGACCAGGCCAACCCAAAAAGGCAACTTTAGGCCTTGTGCTAAAGAGGAAAAAGGAGCCCTAGGAACACATAATATGTGCAGCCCAGCTCCTCAGGGCAAACAACTAGGAGATGAAGCCCTAGCTAATAACAAAAAGCATGCCATTCACCAGTGGGCACCCAGAAAATATTTTAGGAGTAGTAGCAACCACGTTAGGTGGCTCATAGGGCTCCTAGTCCCCCTTTTCTCACCACAAAATTCCCAGACTTCCTGGTACTATTTAGTTGTAAAATCTAAAAAGGTGATTTTTTAATCAAAGTTTTAAGCAAAAACAAACAAAAATCACATCCGGATTTTTATGATTGCCTACATAAAATAAAACAGGGGCATTTCCACAATTCTAGGCCAAGAGCAGAGTGTGCCAGAGCAATATTGCAAGTATTATGACCTCCCTTTTAACCCAAAGTATAAAAAACAAAGACTATCATAAATGTCTCCACTACTTGAATCACTTCCTAAGCACCCAACTAAAACACACACCACAGGATAATAGACCTTAGATGGATTTTTTTAAAGCAAATGGGCTACTTTTCTATACTGGAAAAAAAAAAAACTGACAGAAAAGAACATACTCTGGAGTAGATGCAAATGAAATGCCTTGTAGCACCTGAGGAGGGGAAATATGCTGAAGAGTATCATTCTATCCTGGCTAACATATCTCAGTATGAGGCAGAGCTCTAAAAAAAAAATAAATA